ATTATTTAGCTGTTTAAAAAGAAGAGAGCGTGACCTTCCTCTCCAGAGTTTTCTAGGAACATAAGTTCCAGGAGAACAGCACGGAGGTACTTACCTCAGGCCTCAGTGTCAGTGTGCTGCTCCCTCCCCTGCCCCTGGGCTGTGTACACACCAGGCTGGTGCTAGCACAAGTGGAAGTGATGAGATTCTGATCATTATTTGCCAGTTGGACTGCCAAGAGAGAGTCAGAAAGTAGGGGCACAGAAACCCAGAGCTTACTTATCGAGGGGCAATGTTCGGTGTTCCCATGTGGAGGCTCGTGTCATCAAGTGAAAAGCCTCAGGTACATGGAGATGTCAGTAGCTGGAAAACTAAAAGCAGTAAGGCAGTCACATGATCCCAGCCATCTGGTTAACCCAGCATATCCTCAGTATTTTCAATCTAAAACTAAATATATCCCCTTTCCCAAAAAGTCCTCAGCATATTGAAGAATGTGGATGAGATGGAGCTTTGGCATGTGGGGCCTGCAAAAAAAAGATGAGGATATGGAAATCTACACCCTGGCTTAGAATTTCCTGGTAAAGACCCAAAATGTTTTCTCTCTATGGGAATAGCTAGTTTTTGCTTTACATGTATCAAGCTTCCCAAGGGTTGAAAACAGCAGCCTTCATATTTTGTGTGACCTGGGGGTTGGCCACACAGTTCTTTTAGTCTGGGTTGACTCTCCATCTATGGGTGGCGTGGCTGGACTAGTAGGTCTGGGATGGCTTTGCTCACATGTATGGTGACTGGCAGGCAGCCTGGTTGTTTGAAGAGAGCCTCAGCCGGGAGTGCTTGCCTTGGCCCCATGTGGTCTCATCCTCCAGCAGCTCGCCTGGGTGTCTTCACACGGTGGTCTTGGTATTCTAAAAGCAGCCAGGGAAGACAAGCCCTAATGCGTAAGTGCTATTCATGCCTTTGTTTGCAGCTTGTCTGCAAAGCGCTAGAGAGCTTTTGGCTTGTGCCCAAAGCATAGACCTTGTCCAAGCTTAGAGTTGGTCTGGGAGATTTCCCAAAGCCAAGAATACAGAAAAGCATGAACAAACAAAGTGGGGGCCATCACTGCAACAAATCAAACCTGTCTGTAAGTCTGAGATTTAATTTAGCAAAAGCAGTTGTTTCTACCTGACGCCCATCTGAAGATGACCCTGAACCATATTGTGATTTGTCCTCGTGTAAAATGGCAGTGTCAGGAAAACCATAGATGGCCTCCTTAGCAGCTCTAGCAGCCTCATCTGCCAATGAGGGTGGTGAAAAGTCTCCCAAGAGGCTGGAGGCAGGAAGTGGTTGAAGGACCAGGCCTGACCTAGTACCAGAATAAAGTTCTCACCTCACACACCCAAGTGCAGAGCAACCAAGAAGCAAGTCTGGTCTTTCAGCTGCAGAGGCAAGAGACACCACCAGGGTCAGAAATTGGGGGTGGGTGGTTTCCCCAGGCAGCAAGGTTTGCTTTGCACAGTGAGATGCTGAAGATAGCGTTTAAACTGGAGTGACAGCGATGGTTGGGGACAAGAACATGTGTGACCATTTCAGTACTCATGTAGCTAGAGGAACCAACAAACCGGTTAAAAAACTATTCCTATTTCTCAAGAGGAGGGAGGAAGCAGTAGAGTGAACTGACAGAGGTGAGTAGGGGGGACTTCCCTGGTGGTCCTGTGGTTAAGAATCTGCCTTGCAGTGCAGGAGGCACAGGGGGACACGGGTTCAATCCCTGATGGGGGAACTAAGATTCCCATATACTGAGAAGCAACCAAGCCCGTGCTCCTTGGACCACGTGCCACTACCAGAGAGCCCGTGTACCGCAATGAAAGATCTCGTGTGCTGCAACTAAGAGCTGATGCAGCCAAATTAAAACCGAAGAAGAAAATGAGTAGGTAACAAAGCTAGTGACAGCATTTTTTTTGAATACCTACCGTACACTGAGGTTTACACTTACTTAGCCTTTCATTTGGTTCTCGCAACATAATTACAGATGAGGAAACTGAGTCTCAGAGAGGTTAAGTAACTTGGCCCTTGGTCACCCAGCTTGGGGTTCTGACCCAGGTCTGTCCACCTCCAGAGTGCTGTGCGCTTCACCTGCACGTGCTGCAGAAGTGGTCCCCACACGAAAGGCAGGGCTGCAGGACCCTCCTAGGGGCCATTTGCCGAGCAGGAACACTTGAGATGTTTATGTAAAGTAAAAGGAGCCATTCCAAGTGCAGTATTAGTCTCAGAAGAAGGCAATGACATGACAGAAGGGAGATAGAGACACGAGAGAGAGCTCTAGCATGTTTATTGTTGGGGGTACAGGGACACCCACCAAAAGAAGGTATTTGAGCTGAACCTTCTCCCTGTTCTGTGAGCTAATCTCTACGCACACACCCCACTCACCTTCCCCAAATTAAAAGGATCCCCTTCTAAGAGGATCATTGTAAAGTAAACAAATCCAGTTGGGGATGACTAGAGAGGGAGATGTTCTGAAATCCACAGGCTAGTGAGCCAGAAGCAGCGAGCCGTCCTTGGGTAGCTAAGAAGCTGGCACGTGCCGAGAGCCAGCCTCTTCTGTGTATATACATGGGTGGCAACTAGAGTCAGCGTGCGGACGTGTGGGGGTGATGCTGAAAGGCAGCAGAAAGAGCTTTAGAGGCACACCTCTCATTTCATATCTGTCATCACCAATTAATAACCTCGTGCCCTTAAGGTTCAGTTTTCCGCTGGCAGGTTTGAAATCACCAAGCCTGTCCGCGGGGCATGTCATGGGAAACCCAAGGAAATGGGTGGTTTTGAGCAGTTAGAAGCTCCTGGTCCCTGGAGCAAAGGTTGAAGGCTGCCCCGGGGAGACTGCTCTGAGGGAATGCTGACATTCCACCTAGTTAGGGTATGATTTGGAAATACTGCCCAGTGTTTGCAGCTGAGTGGCGGCGCCTTTCGTGCTCATCCCTGGAGAGCTTGGCTGGGCAGCCAAACCTGTCCCAGTGACAGGTGGAGGGGCTATGACTTGGATTTGACTTAGGTTGTTTTCTTTTGCAGCAGGGTGAGTGGGGGACAGTTACTGTTGAACCATCAGATGAGTATTGCCAAGGTCTCCCTCAAGGTCAAGGATACAAGAGAATGGATTGTGATGCTTCCCAGACACCCCAGGCAAGGAACTCTCCAGCCTGGATCAGGGGCCCAGAGCCACTCAGGCTTGATGCTTTACCTCTGGGAATGAGCTTTGTTTACAGGAGGGCTTCACCCTCTTTGTTGCCTCAGGAGGGCACAACTATGGGCTGCACATCAGTGGGCCCACATCCTGTCTCATTGTGATCTCAGCCGCCTTGGGGGTTCAGTGCAGAAGCCCTGGCCTTGGGCCCCTCACCAAATGCAGATTCTGGTGAGCTGCCTTCAGGGCCTGTGGTTGTCCTGGCAAAAACACCCAGGTGGAGGCCACAGGGAGTTTCAGCTTTGGAAAGAGCAAACATTTATTTGTAGTCCTAAGTATGTTAAATCCTGATGGGATCAGCCAGGGTAATGTGTTGTTTTAGCCAGAGATGTCAGAGAGCTTCTGAGGCTGTTGAGTCCCTACCAGGACAAGGAGGTGGGTGTCTCCAGGAGGACAGATTATCTTGGGACATGAAGCTCTGGTCCCTGGAAAGGAGTGGTGACTAAAGGGAAAGAATCAGAGCTCACTTGAAGCTGTAAATTGGGATTCGTTTGTTAACAGGGTTGCTGGATGCTGGACATACAGGCTTATTTGTGAGGTACAGTGTATTTTCATCAGTCTTTTAGCCAGTGTTGTCCAGTGGTAGAAGGTCTGAGAGGTCTCTTAAAGGAGTGGTTCTTAAACTCCCCTGTAGGGCCTTGGGTATGGTGGTAAGGTGGGTGGGTGGGGGGCAGCAAGAGACCCCAGGACTCTGGCTTCTGCCTCGTTCCTTGCATAAGTTCTTAAAAATACAGCCTTATTGAGATATAATTCACATACAACTCACCCAAAGTGTATAATTCAGTAGCTTTTAATATATTCATGGAGTTGTGCAACCCTTACCATATTAGCAGGTGATCTTTTATCTGATTGCTTTTCTATTGTATTTGAAGGAGAAAAAGTTTCTGCTGCTAAAATCAGGTTTGAAATAATGGTTATAATCTTGCTGTGGTTAAGAACCTTTTCTGAAGAGGCTGTGATTTTTCAAGTTCTATTTTAAACCCCAATGAGAACCAGAAAATAAATTTGGTATCTAAGAGGTGGGGTAAATACCCATGGCAACCATTCCCTTTTTTTTCACAGAATGGACATTTAGAGCCACATTTGGCATTTTTGTGAAGTCCTTCTGCAGAGTCCTAACATGGTCAGAGGAAATTAGAATGGTGGGTGGGGCTGCAAGATGACCCATGGATGCAGCTGAAATGGGCCCAGTGGTCCCAGGTTAGGGGGAGGTCTCTAATTAGCTTATGGGGCTGCTTGATGTAGGAATATATCTTAGACACAGCCCAGCCATCCCTAAAGGTGTTAAAGTGGAGCATGAGGCAGTGATTGACATTCATGGTAATTACTGAGATCAAAGACGCAGGGTCATCATAGCAAAATGTTCATCAGAAATGGTTGAAGAAGTTGGGGATCAGAATGGGGTGTTCATTTCCTGGTCCTTGTAAAGACTTCTTGGGTCTGGCATACTATAAGTGCTCAATAAACATCCTATCCATTTTTCTTTGCAAAGGCCATGCCATAAAATCTCCTTGCCTGTTGAGATCAGATAAGTGAAGCCTTCCCGAACTGTTTCCGCTCATTAATTTGAAGAGTGCCTTCTTAGCCAGGCTGATTTGGGGGCAAAGACATCAGCAACAGTGCACAATTGTTCTCTGACTGGGATATACGCTGCCCTGCTGGAGGACGGGGCTGATCAGATTCTTTTCAGTTAACAAACTTGGTTTTCCGCCTCAGAAACATGTTTCTTGCCTCTCCTCTCTTCGCAGGACGTGTTCCTGATCTGAGGTGAAACCATGAAGAGAAGATAAAATAAACAATAATGCTTTTCCGCAATCGCTTTGTGCTGCTGCTGGCCTTGGCTGCACTGCTGGCCTTCGTGAGCCTCAGCCTGCAGTTCTGTGAGTGTGGTTATGGGTGCTGGGAGGGTAAGGGGGCTTCTCTCTGGAGTAGAAGCCCCCATGGGGAGGAAACACATAGGTCTCAAAGCCTTTGTTCTTTTTTTTCTTTCACTTTGTTTTTTATTGAAGTATAGTTGATTTACAATGTTGTTAATCTCTGTTATACAGCAAAGTGATTTAGTTATATGTATATATATGTGTGTGTGTGCTGTGTGCTTAGTCACTCAGTCATCTCCGACTCTTTGTGACCCCGTGAACCGTAGCCCACCAGGCTCCTCTATCCGTGGGGATTCTCCAGGCAAAAATACTGGAGTGGGTTGCCATGCCCTCCTCCAGGGAATCTTCCCAACCCAGAGTTCAAACCCACATCCCCGCATTGCAGGCAGACTCTTTATTGTCTGAGCCACCAGAAAAAGAATGTGTATGTGTGTGTGTGTGTGTATACATCTTTTTTAAAAAAATACTCTTTTCCATTATTGTTTATCATAGGATTTTTTTTAATTGGTGGATAATTGCTTTACAGTTAGTTTCTGCTATACATCATGAATCAGCTATAAGTATACATATATCCCCTCTCTCTTGCGCCTCCCTCCCACCTACCCCCCATCCCACGCTCTAGGTCATTACCTGTGTTCTTTAAATAAACAGGTTTCAAACAACCCAGTCTTTTTAATGTTGGTGCTAGTGGTGGGTGGGTGTATATCTTTGCTTGTGAGGAACAAGAGCAATCACTTGGCCTCATGACATACTTTTGGCTTCTCCCTGGATGCCTCAACTGCCTGGTTATTCCTGGATCCTTAGTTCAGGTTCCCACGGTGAAGACAGTGAGTGGTCAGCTTGTGTCCTCATGCTGGACCTCACAGCAGAGGTGCTTGGCTTGGGGGTTGAGTGTCCATTATCAGAGAGGGTGGAGGGATTAGGTCCCAGTACCAAACTGGGCAGCAGGGACTGTGCATGGGAAGCCCGGAGTGGCAAGGCAGCAGCATGGCTGAGGAGGCCTGTCTACAGCTTTCACCACCTGCCCTCGGCCCATACCTGGGGGCCTGTGCTCAGGCTGAGCCCCAAATCTATGCCCCCTACTCTCCCTAAGCATGGTGGTCCTCAAACACAGATCCAACCAGGCACTTCCTTAGTTGTAACTCTTCAGCAGTGGGTCTCTGGGAGGCACTCTACACCACAGCCTTGCTGAGTGGCTTGGCATTCTCTGCACATCCAGGCTGTTCTCTATGCCTGGAGCCGGTCCATCTGCCTGAACTGTTCTCCTCACCTCCCTTCTATCTGCCTCCCATCCCATCCTCTCTTCCACATGGTTCATTCACCCCTTTCTCCTTCAGGAAGCTTCCATCACTCCCCACCTGGGTATAGGCTTCTTGGTTGTACGTCTGGGGTGCTCTGAACCTGCCCCACTCCTTGCACTAGCCATGAAGTGAAGTGAAAGTCACTCAGTTGTGTCCGAGTCTTTGAGAGCCCCCCTGTGGCCCGCCAGTCTGTTCTGTCCATGGCATTATCAAGGCAAGAACACTGGAGTGGGTTGCCATTCCCTTCTCCAGGGGATCTTCCCAAGCCAAGGATAGAACCCAAGTCTCATGCATTGCAGGTGGATTCTTTACCATCTGAGCCACAAGGGAAGCCTTGCGATACCATAATTTTTCGGATATGTGTCTTCCTTCTACAAGACTGGCTGCTCTTTGAGAACAGGGCCCATTTCTGCTTCCCTCTTTATCCCAGGAACCAGCATTGCCAACCACATAGGAGGTGCCTCAGGAGTGTTTCAGTGAATGAATGTATCTACACCTGCTCTGGAAAGCAGAACCCTATTTCTCTATCCTTCTGGTGCTGTGTCCTTGTAAGCCAAGAAAATATCTGTGCAATGCTGGTAATTGTATTTTTGCTGCTGCCTACCTGCCCTCCACTTTCCATCTCACCCCGGTGGGTGGGAGACAAGTGCTTGGCCCTCATCACAGCTTAGGACATCTCTGGGAGGAGGTGGCATTGCTGTCACGGTCTGCATGATGGGAGGAAGGGCAGATGGCCAGAGAGGGGGGATGTTCTGAGTGTGCTGAGGGACATGGGAAAGGCTTGGCATTCAGAATGAGTGTTTTGAAGGGAGGAGGCTTTGAGCAAATTTCCCTGCCTCACCTCTGATTTGTGACATATTCTATGCACACATCTAGTGCATATGACAGGCACTTCTAATAGTAAAGAGAAGTAAAAGCACTCGCTTTATCCTTCTAGAATAGGAAAATAGATTAAGAGAAGGTGGGCATAAGAAGTTTAAAGATACTCTAGATGGTTAATGAACTGTAAAAAAAAAAAATCTTTTCCGGAAAGTGTGTTTGGAATCAGTCATTTAATTGTTTGTGGCTTTTCGTTAAAAATTTTCCGTCCTTTGCTTGGAGAGGTAGGATGTTAAAATCAACCTTGGTTCTTCGTTTGCGACACTGACGGGTTCTGAGACGTGAATGTGGGTTACTTGTGTTGCTGCGTCTCTATGGCATGAGGTGGTTTCCACGTCAGTGAATTGGCCTGTGTGTTTTGCTTATATAACTCCTCTGAAAGTACCTTCTGTTTTAGGAGAGCCAATTTTCAGCCGTACTTATTTTAGGGAAAATTTTCAGGATAAATTGACCAGCCTGGGTCTGAGGTCTTTATTCTTCAATGCTTTGGGAGTTTGGAAAGATATTAAGATATGGACCTTCTTACTGCTCTTCTGCTTCTAGGTAAACTGTAACTTTGCAGTTTAACAATTTTGGTGAAAATTGAGTTAAATTGCTTTATTTATTTAATCACTTTATTGGTTGCTAATTATTATGCTGTAAGAAACTGGACTAATTAATAATACAAAGATGTCTGCTTAAGTAACACCTTTATTTTCATTCTTACCCTAAAATATATGGACTTTTTTTCTTCTCTCTTTTGATTAATTTTTGAATATCAGATTAGCACATAGAATTGTTTCAGGTAATATATTTGAGACAGTCAAATGGAACTTGGTTTTCTTATGTTTTAAGTGAATAGTATAATTTTGTTTTCTATGATTGTGTATTTTATTTCAACACTATGGTAGTTTTATTTTTCTGATGTTTTGAATATAAGAAAGTTATGACCCAAGTTACAATGAGAAAATCAGGTTGCTTAAATAGGTGTTTCATCCTCTCAGTACAGAGAGTGTGTATGTGTACTAACATATTTATTAAGGGCTTATGTATGCTGGAGATTTTTCTATACTATTGGGGTGGAGGTGGTTGGGAGAGGATACAAAAAAGATTAAAATACAGTTTGTAGCTTCTCAAAATATGTTTATTTTAAATGGTAATAATGACTCACTTTATGCTAATAGACATTAATAAGAATCATCCATTTTGTATTTTCAAGTCCTTGATGTTTTTGAGTTTGGAAATAGATTGATTCTGAAATTTCTGATACCCAAAGAAGGGAATAAGTCAGGCATAAATATCCTCAAGTTATTCTAGTTAAAATAAGTACAAGTGGGAAAATAACTTCTCAGATTGCGGGACTCCTTCAGTGTGACAGGAAAAGATGCTGGGTTATAAAGACTTGTGGATGGTTCCTTATTTTGCTGCTTTTTCTGCTCATTTGTAATCATCCATTTTCCTGCTTCAACCCTTTCCTTCATGCTCATTTTGTGCTCATTTTACCACCTTCCAAGCAGTCCCAAAATGGCAGCGTGGCGGGAGCCCAGCTCCCAGACCCTGAAACCACAGCCTTGGGTTTGAATGCTGCTCAGCCACTTAGCTGTGGTGTGCCTTCGGCAGGCGTGGCCTCCTGGAGCCTCTGTTTCTTATTTCATAAAATGAAGTTCATTGTTGCTGCTTTTGAAGCATTGGTGTGAGAAGGGAGATTTTAGGCTCAGGAAGCTCAGTCAGTGTAAACAGTACAGAGTCCTGTCACGATGCATCCTCAGAAGCCAGGGCTCTTGGTATCGCAAAGGCTGCTTCAGCCATTTGTGGAAAGAGCTTTTGAAACTGTGTATGTGTGTGTGTGTGTATGTGTTAGTCACTCAGTTGTGTCCAACTCTTTATGACCCCATGAACTATAGCCCACCAGGCTTCTGTCTCCATGGAATTCTCCAGGCAGGAATACTGGAGTGGGTAGCCATTCCCTTCTCCAGGATCTTCCCAACTCAGGGATCAAACTGGGATCTCCTGCATTGCAGCAGATTCTTTACCATCTGAGCCACCAAGGAAGCCCCTTTGAAATAATATATTGTGCATTTCTTTCTTTTAAATCAGAGTTCATCAGCCACGATGGGGGGGTCAGTCTACACTGGGCATTGGTATCTTGGGCAGGGCCCTGGTGAACCAGAGCAGGTTTCTCAGGGAAATGTCCACGGTGGGCTGGAAGCTCAGTTTCCCAGGTAGAAGAGGGCGCTTAACCTGCCAAAGTAAAGTTGCCTTCAGTATCTGCAGAGCTCTTGTCTCTATCCAGTACCTGTAAGAGGAGCAGAGCAGCTCTGTGTGGCCTGGTGAGCATGGGGACATATCTCAGTTCAGCGGCAGGCGAAGCTTCCCGGCTGTCACGTCATGTGGAGGTGGGCTGGCAGGATGCACACCCTAGAGCATCGCTCTGTGAAGAGTAGAACAGTAGGCAGGTCGCTGGACCTGATCCCACTCAAAGCCTTCTCAGACTCTGAGGCTCGGGGAATTTTATCGTTCCTTGTTGACCCAGTACCTCGAGTTGGCCCAGTGCTGTCCTTCAGCAAACATTCCACTGTGTGGTGGGCCCTGGGGGTTTCATCTCTCTAGGGCCAAAGGAGCTGTCTGTCTAGGGAAGGAGAATCCTGAGCAGATACTGGGCACGCAAGGTACAGCGTGCTCAGACAGGAAAGAGGCGGCCCCCCAGGGAGCTGGGAAAGAACGTGGACTCCGGGGCCAGACTGCCTGGATTGAGTCCCTGCCCCGCCACTTACCAGCTGTGTGAGCTCAGGCACGTTTGCTACCGTCTCCATGCCTCAGGTTCCGCATCTATAAAATGGGGAG